TATATATATATATATATATATATATATATATATATATAATATTATTATTATTGTGTGCAGGAAAATCCAATATTTTCAGTTATATATGTAGCGTCTGGACCAATCAAAAACACAATTTTTCATTTGATTTAACAAATCAGTTATTCATTAGATTAACAAACGTTCACAGAAACCCTCCCCCCAATAAACATACTGGGGCCAAGTTGTCTGCGAACAAGGCCCAGGACCATGGTTACCATGGCAACCCCGACACCAGATCCATTTACGACCTAGTGGCATGTTGAGAATTACCCCCTTCTCACCCACGGCACCACAACCCCTCCTGAAGGCACCAACAGCCGAAGAGTCACCACTGTCTCCCAGCCGTAAGTGGCAGGTGTGTGTTCGATTGTTCTGCACCTTTGACATCGCTCGTTGTTGTCTATTCTACTGACAACAACGCCCGAAAAGGGGGAATTTGTAGCATCTGGGCCAATCAAAAACACAATTTTTCATTTGATTTAACAAATCAGTTATTCATTAGATTAACAAGTCGGATATTTTCAGTTATAATAATACCAATAAATAAGTTGAATACATATCTTTTGTTCAGAATATAACTTTAGTGTTTTGTTTTGAAAAATCTAATGCAGTGTACATCATAATTGTGCATTATATTAAATTATATAATGAAATTTGTTATTTATGTTGATAACAGGGTCCCAAGAATGAGCACAGTCCCAATAACCTCACATAAAAAAAATCAAAACTGAGCAGGAAATCAGAATTGGGGTCTGAATGGTGGGAATGTTTGAGTGATCGGTGCTGTGTTTCAGAGCACCGTTGATAAACTGATCAAGAAGACTAACCTGGCGCTGGTGATCGGCACTATTTCAATAAAATATAAAACTTTTTTTCAGGTAGTTCCCAAAGCAAAATTTCTCTCAACTCGATGTACTAAAATAAAACTAAAATTTAAATAAAGTTTTCAAAAAAGCTATATAGACATAAAAACTACTACTAGTGGCAAAAACACACAGTAAAATTATTAAAATAAATTATTTCAGCTAGTTGCCAAGGCAGCATTTCTCTTTTTAATTTAGTTTAACTTGTACTAAAATAACTAAAACTAAAATTTAAATTAAAAAATATATTAAAAAACTACTAAAATGACAAAAACAGTTTAAAGTTCAAATGGAAAATATAAACATACACACTGATTTAAAATATTAATAAAAACTATAATAGTATGTCAATGATGCTCTACTAACACAATACGTATTTTTTGAAGTTGTAAATAAAGATTATTGAGGTATGATTTACAAGATAATGATATTTCAGTCTTCCTACTTCACAATTTCACGTTCAATTCAACGTGTCACCTGGCAATTCTTCGCAAATATTTGCTTTGCTAGCAATTTATGAGTGACAATTGTTTCTACACCTAATTGTTTTTATTTATTTTGTTTTTTGAAGACACAATATTATTTTAACTTCTACAATTCTAATTCCAGGAGAATACCTCTACATGTATTGAGGAAAGTTGTTTGTGTCAGTGATGTGATCCTACCATCTGGTGGTTTGTCATGGTAATGACTGTGCATGTATCGTCCAGCATTTTAATTTGTTAATTATGTGTGGCATCCTCAGGCGACGGGGATGAAGATGTAGAGGAGGGTCGAGAGGAGCGTCTCCCGTCCTGCTACGATTACTTCATGCACTTCCTGACGGTGTTCTGGAAGGTTCTGTTCGCATTCGTTCCGCCCACAGAGTACTGGAACGGCTGGGCCTGCTTTGTGGTGTCCATCACTGTAATCGGCCTCCTCACTGCCATCATCGGGGACCTGGCGGGACTGGCGCTGGTGATCGGCACTCACTCCTGGAGAGAGCAGTTCGTGGAGGCCGTGACCGTCAGCGCAGGTCGGATGTTCAGTTGCTCTCTTTTAAAATAGAAGTGCATTGTATGAGTCACACTGTATAAATGATATGAAAATTCTGACTTAATAAAACACATAATGAGGCTCTTATGTTCTCAAGCTGCTCTTTTAAAAGCTCAGTCTCAGAAGCTCTGAAAGCAAGAGCTCACCTACAATGATGCTTTTGGAAGAATTTGTGCACCTTTACAGACCTGTATGATTTTATTTCTTCCACAAACACAAAAAAGAATAAATAGTGTAGAATTTCCAGTGTGCCATTTTCTGTAACCATAAAAATAGTCCATAAAATAAATGTTAACTGAAATAAAATGAAAAATAAATCATTAAAAAAATATTAAATAATACAAATAAAATAATAAAGTAAATGATTTTATTTCAGCTGGTTCCCAAGCCGACATTTCTTATTTTTGTTTCGTTTAATTTGAAGTTCTAAAATAAATAACTAAAATAAACTAATGACTACATAAGCTAAAAATAATAAATAAAAACATATACATATCCATAAAAAAAACTAATAAAAATTACAAAAAAAAACAAAATTTTAACTAAAATTAAAACAGAAAATATAAAAATAAAGTAATTATCGCTTCCTGACGGTGTTCTGGAAGGTTCTGTTCGCGTTCGTTCCGCCCACAGAGAACTGGAACGGCTGGGCCTGCTTTGTGGTGTCCATCTCTGTAATCGGCCTCCTGACTGCTGTCATCGGAGACCTGGCGTCGCACTTCGGCTGCACCGTGGGCCTCCGGGACACCGTCACCGCAGTGGTGTTCGTCGCCCTGGGCACTTCTATCCCAGGTGTGCTTGACATAATGACACTTCATCCACACTGTAAAATGTCGGAATGTAACTGCGATAGATTCTGAAAAATGCACAACAAACAATTTTCACTTTTCATTGGAAAAAAAAAAAAAAACAGTTTTTCATTTTGTACAGTTTTTAAATGATAAAAGTGAAAAAAAAGCATCCAGTCTTCAGTGTCACATGATCCTTCAGAAATCATTCTAATATGCTGATTTGCTGCTCAAGAAATATGTGTTATTATTATCAATGTTGAAAACAATTGTGCTGATGCATATTTTTGTGGAAACTATGATATTTTTTCCAAGATTTTTTGATGAATAGAAATGTCAAAAGAACATCATTTATTTTAAACAGAAATCATTTGTAATGTTATATAAATGTCTTCACTGTCACTTTTGATTAACTTACTTGATGAATAAAATAATTAATTTCTTTAAAAAAAAAAAACACATATTTGTGACCCTGGACCACAAAACCAGTCATAAGGGTCAATGTTTTTGAAATTGAGATTTATGCATCATCTGAAAGCTGATGTATGGTTTGTTAGGATAGGACAATATTTGGCTGAGATACAACTATTTGAAAATCTGAAATCTGAGGGTGCAAAAAAATCTAAATATTGAGAAAATCGCCTTTAAAGTTGTCCAAATGAAGATCTTAGCAATGCATATTACTAATCAAAAATTACGTTTTGATATATTTACGGTAGGAAATTTACAAAATATCTTCATGGAACATGATCTTTACTTAATATCCTAATGATCTTTGGCATAAAAGAAAAATCGATAATTTTGACCCATACAATGTTTTTTTGGCTATTGCTATAAATATACCCCAGCGACTTAAGACTGCTTTTGTGCTCCAGGGTCACATTTTTTACCTCAAACATTTGAACAGTTGTATTTACAGGTTTATATTACAATTTAGTGAAAGTAAATGACACATACCTGTACGCAAAGCTGCTAAAATTCACATTAAAATTTATTTTGCATTGTAGTATTATTATTAATAATTATATTAAATGTAAATATCTAATACATTGTCTTATCATATATATTTATTCTTTTTTATATTATATTAAATTAGATTAGATCCAGAAATTCTTGGAAAAGTTATTAGCTGATTTTGATCATTTGCAAATATGAAATATTGGCCAGGTTATCAACCTTGTCGATATAAACGTCACTGATGTCTGTATTTTCTCATGCTCTCTGTCTCTCTCCTTCAGACACATTCGCCAGTAAAGTCGCCGCTACTCAGGATCAGTACGCAGACGCCTCCATCGGAAACGTCACGGGCAGCAATGCGGTCAACGTGTTTCTGGGCATCGGCGTGGCCTGGTCTGTGGCGGCGGTGTACTGGGCCATCCAGGGCAAGCGCTTTCTCGTGGATCCCGGCTCGCTAGCCTTCTCCGTCACCCTCTTCACTATTTTCGCCTTCATCTGCATGGGGGTGCTGCTGTTCCGGCGCCGGCCGTCTATCGGGGGAGAGCTGGGCGGCCCTCGTGTCTCGCGTTTGCTCACTACGCTCCTCTTTCTGGGTCTGTGGCTCCTCTACATCCTCTTCTCCAGCCTTGAGGCCTACTGCCATATTGAGAGCTTCTGAAAGGAGAAACGGGGAGCAAACACCACACACACTTATATCTACAAATAAATCTAAAGGGGTTTTGAGGCTCTATAAGCCACATAAATAAAAGTAAAAAATAAATAAAAGTCTGCACACACACTTACAAAACACATCGTTGAATGCACTAATGCAAATCATTCAACTTAGATGAGACCTGGAGGAGAATCTGAGGTGAAAGAGAAAAAGAGATGGATGATGCTGGAGAGAGATGAAAGAAGAGGAGTTTTGTGAAAAAGGAAGCAAAGTGTGTAGCAAAAGAGGGCAAAGATGAGTGTAATGTACTATAAAGGGGGAGCGACGCTGTAAAATAGTCACACTTATATCTTTTAGTTTCTCGAGCTCAAAGGCAGAACTGACGACTTTTGTTTCACACTGCAGACGTTGTCACGCAACAGGTCTTTTTATGGTTCAGGGGCACAATAAATCCGAGTAAAGATAAAAGATGTCTTCAGAACAATAGTGAAGGCATTTTAGATGCTAATGAAAATGCACCAGCAGTCGAGCTGCAGTTTTGCTTGCGATGTGCATCATTCTGTACTAAAGCAGTCATTTATGATTGTTGCTTGACAGATTGTACAATATGAGTTCTTGAGTAAAAGCAAGACCGGCTGAAAGTTGTGCGTCACACTAGACTTCAAGCATGTAAAATTACTTTATTCCCTGCAGTGAATATGCACAGCAGGATGTGATGTCATGTTCTAGGGCTTCTTATTTTGATAAATAATCAAATGTAACTAATATTGCAGTCTAGTGTGACCGCACCTAACTTTGAAATCGTACCGTACAAACCCAAACAAGCTGTTTCACTAATGTTGCCAATGTTTCACCTGCTTGATGTCGGAATGAGCAAACTCAAAAAGTTAAGTTAATAGTAATGTGAAGGGAATGATAAATAACAAAATATTGATTTTGCATAAATATTGACACTATAAGCAGTCCAAGACTTTCAATTGTGCCCTGAAATGACAAAAATCTTTTGCTTTTTAATATTATTTTTGTTAATAATTATATTAAATGTAAATATCCGATACAAAATATTATTATATTATATTCAGAATCTTCAGAAAAGGTACATAAGTTCACCACTGATGTCTATATTTTCTCCCTTTTTCAGACACATCAGACCCAATTGTGCCCTACAATGACTAAACTCTTTTAAGATTCCAGGAATCTGTATTAGGCAGCAAAATAGTGACAAACATAGTCCAGCTTAAGACTAGAATAGAGCAGCGGTAGCTCATGGACAGAAGAATAATTGAAGATGGAATTAAAACATTATCAGAGTCTCAATATTCTGCTAGATTAACTTTCATCCTCTGATCAGGCCATTTTGACCCGAATGGCTTCATTTTTTATTTTATTTTTAAATTGAGTGTTCATCTGAGTCGCATTGAATCTAGATATTTATTTTTACATGAATACTTGTTCTACACCTCAACATTCCCTGTAATTCAACGAACAAAACATCTTATGACATCACAATGACTGGGATCTTCTGAAACGGAACACTGGTCATCGTAATGATTTGAATCTTCAGTTGTTACATTCATTCTGCACTTTCCGCAGCCTAGAGACAATGGAGATCCTCTTTTAAAAGTGTCAATGTAAAAATTCCACGAGAAAACACTCGCCGTCATCTCCATATGCTCAAGCGTCAAGCCACTGGGATGTACGCGAAACTCTTTTCCCATAGCAGTGTTCATAGTATGCTAGGGGGAAAAAAGACATCTCAGTCGATGCTTGCAGTGGCTGAATGGGTACCGTAAATCTTCTTTACACAGGTTTATTAGAAGAACAAATGATTTGGGTGTCAACTTTACTACGGTGCAAAAACTGAAGCATGTTCATTTGATGCATCCAGTGGCTTTACAAGTTCTCATAATGAAACACTAAAGTCAAAATGTCACTGTACAGTTTCTCTCGGCATTGTGTAAACCTGTCTGGGGCGTCTTGATCTAGAACAGTTAAGAGCTGCGTATTGATTGGTTCTTTATAAACTCGTTAGCTGACTAGTCCACTCATAATGTGTGGAGCCGAACGCTGATTGGTCCTTGACAGATTCACAATAAAATGTTGTTTACTCGTAGAGCACCCAGGATCGTGTGTATATGTACGTTAAGGGGATTCTAAGCGTTTTTATGTCGTCAGCTCATCTGTCCAGTCCATAGATGTTTGTGTAAAGCTGTGTGGTGTGTGTGTACTGTGTTCTCTTGCTATACTTCAGGGCTGGACTTTTGTCTGTGGTCTAGTCAGTCGAAATGCATGATGGAGTACATATTGGCAGATCTATAACGGCATGCTTTGACTCTGAAGACATGCATGAATTTGAAGTTTACACTGTTTGTTACTAAAAGGGACAACCATGATGGCTGCCTATGTCAGATCTCTTTTGTAATATTTTGGTTTGAGATCAGTACTTAAAGGAATAGTTCACTCAAAAATGAAAATTTGCTGAAAATGTACATATTCTCAGGCTATCCAAGATGTAAATGAGTTTGTTTCTTCATCAGATTTGGAGAAATGTAGCATTCCATCACCTGCTAACCAATGGATCCTCTGCAGTGAATGGGTGCCGTCAGAATGAGAGTCCAAACAGCTGATAAAAACATCACAATAATCCACACCACTCCAGTCCATCAGTTAACATCTTATGAAGTGAAAAGCTGTGTGTTTCTATGTAACAAACCTTCATTAAGTAGTTTTATAACTTCAAACCATTGCTTTGCAGCTAAAATACGAGTCCTCTGTTTATAATATTGCTTTCTCCACTGAAAAAGTCGTCTCATCTGAATCAGGATAGAAATATGCATCGATCAAGCACCATTTACAAGTGAATAGAGTCCAAAACAGTTCTAAACAAATATGTTGGTGGATTTTGATGTGAGAGGACAACAGGGGATGGACTTTTTCTCTGGAAGAAGTGTTTTTATGGATTATGGACTCATATTTTGGCCAGAACCAATGGTGTACAGTAAACTCAAAACGCCAGAATTGTTTCTTACAAACACGCAGCTTTTGGCTTCACCAGATGTTAACTGATGGACTGGAGTGGTGTGGATTACCTAGGGGGGTTCTTGCCCAGAACAGAATCATACCGCCAATCCAAACTGTATGCTAATTGTCAATCATCTTTGACGATAGTGGTCCTGACTGAAGTGATGTAATGCTACATTTCTCCAAATCTGTTTCCATGAAGAAACAATCTTATCTACGTCTTGGGTGGCCTGAGAGGGATTACATTTTCAGCTAATTTTCATTTTTAGGTGATCTATTCCTTTAATTAACAAAATTTTACTTATTTAAATGCAGATCAGGATGTCGAATTCTTTTCAAGAATGTCTTGTGGTAAAAAAAAAAAAAAAGGCATAATTTTTCACATGCTTTGCCTCACATTTTTTCACATTGAACAACATTCACCTTTGTTTACAGTTCACCAGAGATAAAAATGCTCTGACTTAGAAGTTGTGCAAATGATAAAGCATGAAATCTTGTTTTATACATGCTCAACATCAGCATCAACTTAAACTGGCTTAAACAGACTGTTAATCACTAGGTAGAAAATGCATCAGTAGAAAATTGGGAAAAATGTTTCTTTTCTTTAACAGAGATTTTCATATTTGAAATCTGAAACCCTGAAGGACAGAGTCAATCCTAGAGACTTATTATTTAATATTTAACTAATAACACTTCATAATTGTATCTGTATTGTGTTACATGTTAATGTGTTTGTTTTCTCTGAGTACAACAAACCAAATTGATTAAGACAAAGTGTGCAATATGCGAACCTACCCTGAGCAACCGGCATTGGAGTTAACCCTTCAGGAATACTTGGTGCCTATCCTGGCCCCTTCGCTTGCTTCAAGGTTTTCTTTAGTGCATGTAGGCTTTTTCTTCTTAACGCTACAAACAGAAAGTGCAATAAAGCTGACAAATGACAAGAAGAGTCATAGAGATTTTCTGAAAGTTAACGTTTAGTTTTATCATCACTGATCTTATGTTTTTATGGAATCAAGTCTGGAGTTGATCTGTAGAAATCACCCATTGCCCTGAATGTCAGAAGTTTACTCTTTTTACGACTCTGTTAATGTCGAAAGCTTTGTAAAACTTTTTGGAATACGACTTTGTGACATTTTCAGTAGGCGATTTTTCTATTTCCAAGTGTACTCAAATTGATAGGAACCTCAATAGTTATTGATGTAATAGTTTTTGATAACTATTTCCAAGATGTTTAGATATTCTCAGTAGGTTTACTTGGGTTGCAAGTAATCACTGTATGTTGTATGATAATTGAGATTCCATTTGCAGTGTTTATTAATGCAGCGAATTCATCTCTACACTGCATCCTCACATCTATCTCTCTATCGAGCTATCATTTGTTTTTCTAATGAATTACAAGTAATGTCTCTGTAAAGCAGTTTCTTGTACACTGGGCCAAAGGCTATTTTTATTTATTAATTTATTTACAAGGAATTTAACTCATGATAACAGAGTGAAATACACTAGTTGTGACTGTCTCGTCTGTTGACCGTGTGAAGGGCATGTTCATTGAGTAAAAGGCCATCTTGGCTTTTTTCAACACGTCTTCATGTGTTCTGGTGATGATATTGTATTTCTGATGTCCACCAGCGGTTGGACTGTGTTCATTACTGTAAATGTGAAGTTGTACATGTGCCTCTAATGTACAAAATGCATGAAGTACCTGTTTGTATGCATGAGCTGTTATCAGTGTCGAGGTTTACATTTATATCCCATCTTTCGTTTCTTATTTTGCATTTTTTATTTTACGCGCAGGTATTTTTTTCACCCAATTCAATAGAGATATAGAAAGATTTTAGAATAGAATTGGAAGTGGGGAAGATAACCTATTGACAAACAGTTTGTTACATCTTAATTTCTGCAAATAGAAATGTGAAAAACCTTTATTACTTTCCATGTTAAAAAAATGTCTGTCTTGTCCTCACAGTTTTGTATGTTGTCTGTGTCGACCCCAAACTGGTCTTGCTCCCTGCCTTGTTTTTGTGCACTTTTATCTGTGTCTGTGATCATTCTCTTCTGCCTGTTAAATTACTTTAATAGTGACGGACATTGTCACTATATATAATACTGTATTAATTCACTAGAAAGTAATATTTAAGTTTTTTTTTTTTTTATGGAAGTAGCATAAAAAGTCAAGACAAAACTAAAGGCGGAGGAGATTTGTTTGGAAGAACATGGCATGATGTGTACTGTGTCCCAAGAAGAAAAAATAATGTAGCTGTTAGAGCTCAAGCAGACCTTATTGAATATAGTTTATTTATTTTAAACATTTCCTATTCTTGAGTGTTTTTTTATTAACACACACACACACTATATATATATATATGAATGAAATATTATAAATAAATAGAGGATGCTGTAGACCATGACTGTTCATTTACACCAATCATGCAAATAGATGCCAGAAAAAAAGTACAGTCAAATGTCCAGATCAGAAAATTCACTAAATCCATCAGTAGTTATGCCACCTAATGATCACAAAACTCAAGTTCAGAAAGCTGTGTCTTGGTGAAATAAGTTGTTGTAGTTCAATTATTAAGGTATCGTTATGTTCCTGAAGTTATCATTATGACAGTGAGTTTTCCTTATTCACTAAAAAAAATCATAAAAATGTAGAAACTCGCTGACTTTCACCATTAAAACTATTCTAGAAGTGTTCAATCTCAGAAATGGTACCTTGGATTGCGATATTAAAATGTATACAACAGTTATTATTTCGTCTTGTTTAACACATCTTAACTGCCCTGCTCAGCTAAAAATGGACTATTATATTTTTTCTTAAACCACTATTTTGGACTTTTTCAATTTCACTATTCTCTTAAAAAAAAAAGAAAATTTGAACCTTAGGTATCCTTCGTTCAAAGAGTGAAAAGACATGATGCTGTGTGGGGTTTTGGGTATATTTTTTGTAATTTAATCTCCTTTGGAGCAAAGGTCCCATCTGAACCATTTTTTGTCCCTAATCTGTCACCTATTCTCAAATCT